AATGTATTATATTCATTATAATCATCAATAACGTTTCCTTTTGTTAATCTCCATTTTCTCGGCACTACCATTATTTCGCCATCACTTTTATTGGTCCATTTAGAACCGGATTGCCGTACGAATACAACATTATTCAAATACAAATAAATCCTATTTAAAACTCCACTGTGTAAAAACCCATTTCGCCCATCGTTTTTCCAAATTCCACGATTTTTCAAAAACTTTTCCAGATCTAATCTAGCCATCGGCCTATAACATAAACTAGTTCTATATGCAGGTGAAAAATCCTGTGCATATTTTCTTAATTCTTCAATCTCTTGATTATTTTTTCTCCAGAGATCTTCCCAAAATAAATACCACCATTGATGAGCTCTTGATAAATTCACTACTCTCATTCTTTCATATAAATAAACGAGTGTTGGATAATCGGTTACTGGTATTTCTTGAATTTGTGGATTTGTTTCAGTGGTCATTAATAAAGTAGGTAGTGTCTCCAATGGTATTGAAGGATTATTATATATATTTATGAAGAATCCATATGTCAAAGTTTCTTCTTTTTGAATAGCTTCAACTCTATAGTAGTTTCTATATTGTTGCATTATCGATTGAATCTGTTCCAAACCTTGTGACACGACCTTGTAGTTATCTGTAAACAATCGTTCAAGTTGTGGTGTCATCTGAAAATCATGTGTGATTCCAATAATATTATGACCAACTGTTCGTTCATGATCAGTACCAGAATGAAATGCGTTCGTATACATGATGGTGACTTCGAATCCGGAATTCATATTATGATTATTCCATGTTGATAATTGATTACGTCTTATTTGGAGAAGACCTAAATGATAATGAACTTCAGACTCCGATGAAACGCCAAAGAAATTCTATTTTATAAAAATAATTAATCTCCATTTAGTTTTTATAAATAAGCATAACAATTTAAACTTACTTTTGGTGCTTTATCGTATCCTTCAAGATTATGATTTTTTTCTCCTTTATCACTACAAGGACCGAGAATAATCTTTCCTTCCAAAGCTCTAATCATTTGTCTAACCAATCTTCTTCGGTTCACTTCTTTATTCTCATTCTGTTCCACGTACCGTTGAATCTCCCATTCCTGTGTTAATACAATTACACTCTCATCATCATCATAACACATTACTACACTAAATGGAAATGGTACTACGTATGCTTTACCAAAACAAGTTTTTATCTTAACGTTTAAAAATTCCGGTGCATAATACATATCTGGACCTACAAAATTATTTAATATCTTTGTCCTTAATCCAATTAAAGAACTAGGTAAAGGGGATAATGAAGCAGTATAACGTCTTATTCCAATTTGCCTTATGATTTTAAGATTTTCAACATGTCGTTCTGCAACACTTCCTGTAAAATTTAATAAATATGGTGGTCGATATGGTGATTGAGAATATGCTACAATCTTATCTTTTGACATTTTAAATTTTTCAGAAGTTAAAAACAGTGTAGTCCAAGTTTCTTGCCATATACGTCGTTTAATATGCTTAGAAAAATCTAAATTAGGTGAATATATATTGATACTAAAATCCAATCGTTTCTTTATAATCTTTACGAAATTTTGATAAGGTCCTGTCTCTTTAAGTATATACCACATCACTGCTATTCCAACAATACAATTAATAACTATGATACATATGGAGATCCACTGATATGGACCAACTTTTAATATTACAATCATTCCGAGGATTGCAGTGATCACATAACCAGACCGTGTCCAGTATTCACTAGCATTTTGTGAAGCAAAAATGTATGGTTCATTTCTCCAATGAATAAGCAATAATAAAACCATGAGAACAATTTGTAAACCTTGACGAATTGATTCTATGCGGGTTCGTGGTGTATTCCGGAATATACAATTGTCTTTAGATATTAATGAAACTAGAAGTATATTAAAAAATTTGTTGGCCATTATAAAGGATTTGTAGGCTACCCATCTTTCATTATATGCTATATATATATATATTATATCAATTTGTTTATAATTAAAATAATTAAAACGTTAAAGGAAATTACAAATAACAATTATTAGTCACATACCATTATACAAAAAATTATAAGGGCAAATATCTTTCTCCAATAACTTTCTATATTCACCACCTTTATTTGCAATTATTTCACCAACTTCATTGTATTCATCAACTTTAGGTGAATTCTTGTCCACTAATCTTTTTAAAGCAATAGGGAACCAAAAAGTCAACAGTGCAAGTGTTACCAATGCAACGCCTATAATTACTGGTGAAAAGTTCCAATCACCTTTTCTCATGCTAGTAACATAACAAAAATCATTAAAGTCTCTATTGCCTGTAATATTATTGAGGTAACTAAAGTCTGGCGCATCGCTATAAATATATGGATTTGGTATTGCCCAGAATGTGTCACCCCAAACTAAAGCGTCAATTGAGAGTTTTGATATTGGAAGATAAAGGGTTGTTAATAAAAAAGTTATTATTATATTTTGACGGCGATTTGTTTTGGGACGTAGATTCCATGGGGATGATTCAAGACCCTAATAAAAAATATATATATATATATGTGTGTTTATAAATTTGTAAAGTATCAATTAGTAGTAATAATATATACCCATTTTCTTTTACCTCAGTATCAGCATTAGGGTCCCATTTAGTCATCAATCTAAACCAATACAAAGCTCCAAGCGCAATAACACAATATACCAAAAAGAAAGCTATTCCATTTCCAAATACACGATCCAAATTAAAACTAAACAAGTTAGGAATTGTATCCAACAATATTTTTACCCAACTTTGAAATATTCCAGGATTTCCAAATGACAATACAATTGTTAAAAATTGAAAAAAATCTCTAATAATTTCCAATTTAGTCATTTTATCTGGTGAAGTCTGAGTTCCAAGGACTCCTTCTATAGCAAGTACACCATCAATAGCAGCATCTAACCAATCATTTCGCCTTCCTTGATTTAATGGAATTCCAAGAAATGTTGATGGTTTTTTAAGCATATTATTTTCGAGATCTTCTAGTGAAGCACCATCTGGAATTTGATTCATTGGAGGAAATATCAATTCCGAGAGTTTATTAGATTTACAATCTTTTACAAACTTTTCGTATTCTTCTTGAGTCATTAAATCTTTTGGATCAGAAAATTCAGTGGGTGGTAAACTTTTAATATATTCATCCAAATGGGATAAATGTATCCATGGAGAACCAGATTTGAATAATTCACTGGATTCTGATTCGTCCAATAAATTAATACTAAATTTTGTTATTTTTGACGGATTTAAATCAGCATCATGTTGAAATAACACATTAGCATCCTTTTTTTTTTCCAACCGAATCTTTCATAGCAGAAATAACTCGAGTAAAATCTGGTACGGTCACATTATTTCTTCGAAAAGCTCTGTTGAAATTGTTATGTCTCGCACGTGCTGTAAGATCAGGCATAGAACGATTATTTTTTCTGTATTCTACAGATGCAAGATTATGTGGTACCATGAATGACATTTTACTTTTGGATGAAGTATATTCTGGTAAATTATGATCACCAGGATCTTTTGTTTTAATATGTTTAAGGAAAGGATTTTTTTTTAATGTGCTAGTTGGAGATAAAATACTTCGTTGTGGTCGTACAGAATTATAAGGTGATTTTGGGACTTGTACAGGTTTTAAAGATTTTCGTTTTGAACGTTCAGATGATATCGATTTTAAATCATCGGATGAAGTATAAGTGTAAAACTTTCCAGAATTTCGTAGAGTGACAGTCAATGTATTTGGTAGTTTGTTTGATGATTTTAGCTTCTTGGAACTTGATGAATAAGAAGTTGGTACAGGTTTTCGAGTTGTGCTATTTGATTTCGCAGGTAATCCCCGTTGATTACTCTTTTCGGAACTTGTATTATCATTTGTCATATGTGTTTCTTGCATTTCTATTATATAAGTCGAACTGTCTTGGACTGATGGCAGCGATTTCTTTTTATTGCCAGACTTTTGACCAACTACTTTATACAATAACGGATTATTAGATTTTTTCACACCAATGCTCTCACCAATGTTCCCACCAAATGGTTGATTAAATCCATTTTCTGACAATTTTGACGAATTAGGATTAGACGACGTAGATGGGGATTCGTCTTGAAGTTTCCAAGAATCTATATCATTAGACAAAGAAGTACTCAAAGTTGGTAATGCATAGGTGTTTGATGTTGGATCAGATAAGCCACGCTTTAATGAAGATACTAATGTAGAATCATCAAAATTTGACGAATGGCCAACTTTTGATAATGGATCAAGTTCTGGTACATCAAACTTTAAAGAAGATATTTGAGGCGTTTGCGGTAATAAACCTGGAATGTTTTCAGAACCTTTGCTATTATTGTTCGTGGTATATACAGGAACCTGTTTGCGAAATGGAGAAGGTATTATTGAATCTCTTTTGGATTGAATAGGGATTGTTCTTCTCCTATGTGAAATTACAGGAGTTGGAGAAACTATAGAAGATTCAGTAGCATCTTTTGGCAAATCAGGTAACTTTTTCTCAAGCGATGGATCAGGAATTGGGATGTGTAAAGAAGTTGATTGAGTTGCTTGTGTTGTTGGTAAGTCTTTAATAAAGGGGGGTTTAGTTGGGGAATCATTAATAGCTAATTTAACGGGGATTTCCTTCACGGATGACGTATGTGTTGTCTCAGGAATTGTTTGTTGTATCGGAGATGTTTGTAGAGGACTTTGGATAGAAAGACTTTTATCAACAGCTTTTATCGGAGATGATGATGATATATGAAGTGGATCTGTTAGAATATTTGGAATTACTACACTTGAAGTTGATACATTATGTGATTCCAGACTGTCTTGCGTTATCGATGTAGTATCATTATTATCGGTAATAGAAGTTATGGGAGACAAAGCTGTCAGAGGTACAGTTGGTGGTAAATTTATTTGTTCTGTAGTTATATCTGAT